TACAGCACCCCTTTGTAAAATGCAAAATTTCTGGTCCTCATAGTGCTTAAACAGAATGCCTGGGGTACACTGATCTCATTTTGCTATTAATCATTGAGTTATCTCTCCACTTAATTACTACCTCTCTGACTAATTGCATATGGGAGGCCAGTAACTGCAAGGTAGAGAAGTTTGTATCTATTTAATCTCATATTTGCACCTGACAAGTAGTTTAAACATGGGCTCCTCCCACTCCTGACCTAACATGGCATAATATGCCTTGCCACAAGAATTGCATCAAGAAGCTGGTTCCCTTCAGACTGAGTTAGCAATGTTGTATATGTTGTTGAATGCAAAATTCTCTAGGTGTCCCTTGATGCTGGGATCACCTGGTGGCTCTGTCCAATGGCTCATGCAGATTTCCCAAGAAGAGCTGTACACACAGGCAATGCTTGAACCCATAGTTGAGCAGCTTTCAGCTATTTCCAGGTGGACTTCGAACTGTTGATTTTTGGTCTGCCACTTAGAGGCAACTTTAGCTGCCACACAGAGAACAGAGAAGTGGAGGCAGAAAAGCACAGACAATCCTTCTCTCCTCCCCCATCATTTAAATTGGATACATAGTATGGAAGAGACCCCTGGAGCAGAGCGTAACCCAAATTCTGACTGAATGGAAGAAATTAGTGTGCTGCAACACGTCACTGAGAGCTGGAGATTCTGGCAGTGGAGCCAAAAAGAACAAGAACTATCTAGCAGAATTGCCTGCATCTTTGGAGACAATAAAACTTATACTGTACCCCCAGGTCCAGCAGAGACTGGTCTGGTTGCTTGTTGAGGGGGGACGTGGGTGGCACTTCAGAGCTTGCTGTATGGAGATGTTTTTCATCTATTTTTGAGGCTGTTGAGGAAAGTATGAGCTAAAGGCAAAAGACTGTGGGGGAAAATATTTGTAGAAAATATTTTGTAGGTGCTTACAGGATTTTTAAAAAATGTATGTGGCAAGCAAGCAAAGACTTATATAAGTGCCAAAGCTGCATTATCAAAATGTTAGTAGGTAAACACATTAATAAAAATGCTGTGAAATTAAGTATCATCTAAATTTCTGTTAACACAGAAGAGATGTTATTAATGATCCCTCCCTCAACCCACTGCCAATATGCTTCAGGACACAAAGCTGTGCATAACTCTGAACTCCACAACTCATCCCATTTGTCCTTGCTTCCAGACTGCCAGAGTGCAGGTCGGTTCATGGTCAACAGTTCTGGAGGCAGCTGACACATCCAAAGAATCAGAAATGACACCTGATCTTCACCCATCATTGACAAAGGATTATCAGCCAACACAAATATGTGCTGTGACTTCTGTTATCAAGTGGTTTGTAAACAACCATGCATTACAGGCAGGATTTCAAGAGAGTTGCCCTATCCAGAAAGAAAAACAGCACAAAAGTGTGCTTACATGAGCTGATGCAAATTCAGTGCTCATAGCATATGGAGAGTAGGATTATCTGGCCATCTACTGAAGGATCTGAGATCTGATGGCAGGATTTGGGATCAGTTTCCTACAGAGAAGAGATATCTAAGGAAATAATGATGGTTAAATTGAAGCATGCCATTTTGTGGAAGAGTGTCTGGTTTAAAACTGGGATTTCTGTGTGAAACAAGTTTAGAAACACTACGTTTCAATCCCTCAAACTGGCTTCATGTAGACAATTTTCATATGGCAAAATTATTCCACAGATCAGTCAGAATTTATGCCATTCTGACTTTAAAGGTAATCTCTGGACTATTCTGTCCGAAATAGGGCTATTTTAATTTATACAAACAGAGAAAAAGGGAAGGGCTGTTCTTTGGACAAGGAGGCAGTTCTCTCTGTGTGTGCCTCTGACATTAGAGCCAAGAAAATAATATTCCCCCAAACTGGTTACCCTAATTTCTCCCTCACACCATACTGGTCCACAGTCCCTTCTGTCCCAAGCCTTAAATTTCCCAGTCCTTCCTGCCTAAAAATTCTTTAAAATGCCTTCTGTGTTGAGGCTCTCCTTCCACTTTGTCCTTTTCCAAGGCCTCTGCTCTTTCTCTCCTACAAAAGCCATTCGTCTTCCTCCCCATCTCTCCTAGCTTAGATTTACTTTATCTCTGACAATTATTTTCCCATAACTTTCACTAACCCTGTTACTCCAGAGGCAATCCTTGCAATCCCCAAACCTCTAAAACAGAGAAATAAGGCCTTCCTAATCCTTTTTGAAGCCCAGCCTTTCTTTCCCACCTCTCACCTTTCTTCTCCAAACACTTTACGAACATTTCCTCAGAGCTTTAGTTCCCCTTCTGTTCCCAATTCCCATTTCCTCTTCTGCATCCCCTGTGCTCCACACCCTTAGTGCTCCCAGCCTCATTCATTTGTAATTGTGTACACAGTTTGTGTATTACCCCCTGTTGAGTGCCAAGGGACAGTACAGCCTTCTCATCCACCCTCGCCTCCAGCAGAGCCCTCCCCTTCCTTATGTTGTCCTTGGAGAATCTCCTTGGAGATGGTGGGCACACACTTGGAGCCAGCTGCATTGGTTCCATCAGACATAAAGGAAATTTCTAGCAGCTTCTCACAGGAGCCAGCCCTGTAGCCACCCAGCTGCCAAAAACTTGCCATGCAAATCCAAGACAAAAGTAATTATTCAAGAAAAATGTGCAACAAATTTCATTTCCCTCCTCAACCAGTGGGAATTCAAACGCATTTCTCCTCCTGCTTTGTGCTCTCCTTTTCATTTTGTTAGTCTTCTTTTTCCTGTGACTATTTCAACTTCAGCTCGAAAAGATGCAACAAAATATACAGAACAACCTGTATCTGAAGAGGTCTGATGCTCAATCAAGAAATGAAAGATTTGACATTGAACTTTCTCAGTCTAGCCAAGAAAAGCCTAGAGACAAAAATTCCCAATTTTTCCAAGTATTAGAAAAAGCTACTGTATCATACTACGAAGGAATTTAAAAACACTGTTTCCAATAAAAAATATCCATAACTGTGTTTTTCAAGCAGCATGCTCTTCTGCGTTTTTGCTATGAATGTTCTGAGAATATATTCTAACTTAAAGAGAGACTTAGGGGAAAATTCCTATTTCTGAAACATGATCAAGTGTTGAACCAGCTGCTGAGCTTCTCATACTAGGGCAATTTGAGATGGGCTGCAGAGAACTGAATTCTTACAATAGTAATGTTAAACATCAAACAGGGGGGCCCCTGGTGAGTTTAGGTGTCTATATTGGATTAGCTGCAGCTGAGCAGGGGATTTCAGGATAATAATTACTCTCAGCTACACCCAAGTTTATCCAGAACTTTCTCAACCTTGAGTCTTTTTGCAGATATGACCTTGTTTTGACTTTTTTTTTTTTCCTTTTAGTGTTCCAAAATCACTTCCAGATCATTCTCAGAAACATAGGAGTTTGAAGTGGTTTTTTGCTTTTTTCCTCCATACTTGGACACAAGACAATGGTTAAATGACCTCAGAAAGCTTTACGAGAGGGATTATGAGATGTTGTCATAGCAAATTACCAGCTCCTGATCAACATTGGTGTTGGCTCCTCACAAAAGCAAGAAACTCACGAGACAAGAAAAGCCTCTCCAGCTGAAGGGAGAAAGGAGACTCCCCTGCCAGAGCACTTTTCCATAGTGCAGAGAGGATCACCAGTAGCTGGCCTGGCTCTGTCTATTGTCCTTTGTTAGGGTAGCACATGAGGACAGTGCAAATTTCTCTCCATGTGCCCAGGGGCTGGGATTCCCTCATGTCCTCAGGCTGGGACCTGTAGCCTCTCTCTACAGAACTGTGTTCAGATGGGATGTGGTTTCGACAGCTGGACTGACAACTGTCCTTTGGGAAGTGACTCAAATGAAGTATGTCAAAATTGTCATGCAAAGGGTGATAACTGTCAGATAACCATTGTCATTTATTTCTGTAGTTATGTTTTTTTACAGTTTACACAATATTTTGACTGTGAAATATCGTCTAATTGCGAGGGTGATAACTGTCAGATAACCATTGTCATTTATTTCTGTAGTTATGTTTTTTATAGTTTACACAATATTTTGACTGTGAAATACCGTCTAATTGCATACTTCCTAGTGGGAAAAATTGTTATTTTTTCTCATTTTTACTCCATGTGCTAGAATGTCTTTCCCATACTCTTTTTTTACACCTCCAAGCCTTGCTGTAGTAATTTAATAATTGAGTAACTAGCACTGAAAACAGTAGAACAATTTATTCCAACTGTCACATCCACTTTAGGGGGCTTACCTCTGGGGTAGATTTGGCTCTCCCATTTAAAGTTTTAAACTCAGTTTTTCAGTTTAGAGCAGCTTCCATACTGTTTAGCAAACTTCTGAAATAAACCTGCAAGCCTTTTAAAAATCTGTTTTGCCCAAATGGCACTTTTTAATGAGGTAATTTTTTTCTAAGACTAAAAACAAGTGTGAGTAAATAAACATTACACTGGGCTGTATCACTGGAGTCCCTGTTTCTCTAATCTGCTTAAAGCCTAAAGAAAATTATTAAATTGAACCTCTGTGAAATAGAAACAAAAATCTCAGCAACAATTATCACTCACTTCAGTATTGCTTTCAAAAATAAATAAGGAAAATTCTACCAGAACCATGATGTGGTGCAAAGAAGTTTTCCATTTGTTGCCTCCCCAAACAGCATTCTGTTGCTTTTCTAGTAACAGTTAAATTAAATGTTCTATAAATCCCTGCAAATGGTTTGCTTTCATTTCAATACCAGAAAAGTACCTGTAGCACGAGTCATGAGAACAGGCCTTCTGTGCAGTGACCACTTCAGACAACACTCAAATCACTCACCTTTTGCTTTGGTTCAGGAAATGATGACATGAGCTCCTTGCTGCCTATCTGATTCCCATGCATGTGACAGTCTGACTAACGTGCTTGATGCAAAGATGTGCCAGGGCTCATCAGTAGTTTCTACACAAATTGCAGTCCTATCCAGAAATACTGTCCTCACACCTGCCATTCATTCAGCAGAGCTCTGGGGTCAGAGGAACCGGGCCATCCACAGAAACCATTTAGCAGGTGAGTAAATTTGGTCATTTCAAACTAACCTGTGCTTTGCCACACAGAAGAGTCAAAGACTACCAACAAAACTGGAGAGCTGGTTTATCAAGCATCTCCCTATTTTACTACATGGCAGCCAAAGGTCTGCCCTGATGTATTGGTTATTTGCACTGACCAATGCACTGTGAAACTTATGTGGTGCCAATAGCTCTGCTGGTAATTAAAATTTTCCTCATACCAATCCTGGAGTCTCCTATTTTCAGTTAGTGGCAGCCAGACACCGGGCCAGCAGGGTGATGAAATGGGAGGCAGGAATAGGAAGGCTGTAGACAGAGTATCATCATGAACTGAGTGTGTCGTTACGTGCAAAGCATGACCACACATGCAAAATGCTGATTCCATCCAAACCCATAAAGCCTGACTTTAAGCTGATTTAGCTCCGTCTTTTCTGCCCCTTGTTGAGTCATCACAAGGCTTTCTTGTCCAGGATTAGACCTAATCCTTCTGTGACATCACCCTTTACACCCACTAATGTATAAAGTGAGGGCTGGACCCTGGCCACAATAGCTCCCACAGATTTGTAAGTCATAGCATACAAGAGACAGCTTTTTCCTGCCTGTGTTAGAAAGTATCACGTTTCTTTTTATTTTTCTAATTTCTGCACAACATCTTGATGTAATTTGTTCTGCTTTGGCATTTTTTACAAAGTGATAAATAGCACAACCCAACATTTACAAAAATCACAATTTGTATTTTCTACAAAATATTTGCATTTCAGCTATAACCTCAAAATTAAAAAGAAATGGTTTTTTCACCTCCTACAATAGGGTTTATCTACCTTAATTCTAACATCTAGAAGTCTACCACTTCATGTAGAGGCCCTTTATTCTTCCTCTGTTCATGCTTCCATTGCTCATTTTCTCATTTTAGACTGTTCTTTTTCTGTGACTGCTTCCATATCTCCATAAATTCTCTTATTTTAAGATTCTTTCATTCCTCTGTTCTGGCTCTACCATATCTTTCATTCTTTCTTTCTTTTTCTTTGGTCTTCTTCCTCCTCCATTTCCCTCTTCTCCTCTGATGTATCAGCTCCATTATTATCCCTCTTTGTCATGTTTCTACTTCCTGTCTTTCCTTTCTCCTTCTCTGCAAGATATTCCTTCCCCTTTTCTTCTTCCTCCATTACCACCTGCTCCTCTGTGTGTCAGTTTTCCACTTTGATGTCTTCTCACTCTCACTGCTCTCATTCCCTCTTTTCAACCTGCCTCCTCTAAGTCCCTATGCCTCTTACCATTTCTCTCTGCTCTTGCTCTATCATTTGAATTTGCTTGGGTTTTTTGATGGCTTTTTTTCTTCTTCTTTCCTTCCCATTCAATAAGTGATTCTCCAGTGTTATAGGTTTTACCAATTCTGTGTGAGCCCAAACAATAAAATTACCTGTCCTCCAAATTTCAGCTACCCAAAACTCCTGAAAGGACATCTTGAATGGTGCCACAGCTCTTCGGCTTCACTAGGCCAATACTTCACTAGGTCAAAATAGAATTTTGAGTTTAGGTGGAAGGATATTCCTTCCTTGTTTCTGGTTTTCAGATCAGGAAAACCTTCTTGTGTAATCTCCCACCTGTGCACCCAGGTTTTCTTTGGAAGGAGTGCTTATTGTGCTCCACATTGTGCTTCAGCCTGGACAACAGACTAGGACTGCATCCATTCAGCAGAACACATGGACACAGCAATAAATTCTGCTTGTTTCCCACCATACTGTCCATGTACTAGGCAGTATACAGGACACAGGAGACATCACAGCTCTTGCTTGAAAGTATTCAGGTGTTTAAAAAGTCAGCTGTCTGAAGAATAGGAAGGGGAGAAGCAAGAGGTACTATAGGTTATGTGTGTCTGAAATTGAGCAATTTTCCTTTTTGAACGGGCCAAACAAGTTAAGGAGCAGTTCTGTCAATCCTGGAAAGACTGGAAGGCTGCAAAACCTGAATGTCTAGAGCAACATTGGCTTTGCATTTTACTGCTGTAAAAAACAATGCAGCAATAGAGGGGTTTCAGCTCCTAGGGCCACTTTCCACTCTCTTCCTACATTTTGAAGCTCTAACTGCTCTATCCATTTAAGAGGCAGTCTTCTATCAGTAGGGAAAATACTCTTGGTTTTATTTGCTGCAATCATATAGCTGAAGTGAGAAAGAACAGAGTCTCACTTCCAGCAACCATTAGGAGCTGATGCCTGTCCTTGGTTTCAGCATTCTCAACCAGCAAAGAGAACTGAGCTTCTCTGTCAAGATCCATTCTTGCTAACTTCTAGGTTATTGCAATCTGCAGGAAGAAATTGATTCTTAAAAACAATCAAAAAGCAATTTGTCATCCCAGTAGAGTTTTAAAATAATTTTCTTAAGCCAGTTATGCATATCACCCAAAAGAAATAAGACATGGATAGACATAGATCCCAAAATATATTTAGATTCCTAAATCCCATTTATTTTTGTATAAATTTCACATGAACTGGAAAGGACCCAGTCTGCCCAATTTTTAGCAATGGGAAAAGGAAGAGCTTAAAGGATAAGGCTAAGGTCTGAGACATGAAAATTTCCAGTTATTGGAACAGGATCAATTCAACTTATCCAGGAAAAAAAACAGTGAAAGAAGAATTGTCAAGCAAAGAAAGAATCAAAGAGGAGTCTCAGGCTAGAAAAGAGAGTATGTGGCATGGCAAAACTTACTATTTTCATACTACATAAAACACCAGGGTAGCATTAGAAGGGGACAAACAGAAGAAAATGCCAAACTGCAGATCGTGCACTAGCAGTCAGTAAGAATTTCTTCTCAAGACATTTTTCTATCTTTCACCTGTCAGTTCTTGGCACAGAGATTGCAAACACAGTCTACAATGCTCAGGGTTGATGAGCTTCCAGACAGCCTGAGGAGTGATCCGTAGATTGTCTAAATGACACTGGAGCACATCTTCAGCACAGTATGACCACTTTGAACTAAAAAAACTCTCAAAATTGATCAGGCAACTGACAGCTCTGAATGTGCAGACAGGTCTAAAGAGGCAGAGCAGTTCCCAACAGCAACCAGCGCAACCAGAAAAAAGGCAGCCAGGAAAGCTTGGAACAAAAGTGCTGGTGATTCTACATTACTCCCAAGTATCTCAGGTGGATGCATGTGCTGCACCTTTTAATCACGGCTTAGATACTCCTCTGGACAGATAAAGTCACTTCTTTGGACAAAAGAATGAGCACATTCCTTTTGCTGTTTGATTTTATTATTGAAATACTACTGGATTTTGTCTGAATTTCTTGTGTAAATAGATATAGCTGTGCTCAGCAAATTCCTTTTTGCAGTCCTTCAAAAAGAGCCCTAGTTTATACCTAGGCTTCCCAAGAATGGTGATAATGCAGCTGATTAAGTAATAGCAATACTGAAGCAAATTCTTTTGGAATTACATTACTTTGGAGTCTACTGCTACTCCTCAGCATGTCTCTCCTAAAGGAGACATGCTCAATTAACTCAGCATCCCCTGAAGTGAGTAAGCCTCCAGATGGTCTCTTCTTTTGAGGTGGCTAAGATATTTTTACTGGGAGGGGGATGCAATTTCTTTCAGACTGCATCTGTGAGACATTTAGGAATTTATATTGGTACTCACAAAATAAGGATGCCTGTCCTGAAAAATCATCCTGCCCTTTTATGACAGTCTGTTTTAATTGGCTGCCTACCTAGGATAGCTGTCTTCTTGGCCCACACTTCTGCCTGATCTGGGCTGAGATGTCAAAAATGGAAGAAGAAAATGAATTATTTAAACCTTAGTGTAAAAAAGCACCAAATTCTTTCTGTCATTACACTGATTTTACATTACTTTGTAAAGTTTGCCATTTATATTAGTGGATTTTACTAAATCACTTTTAATTGACAGCACTGTGAGATGTCAAATGGGCATTAGGAGGTTGCTCAAACTAAAAGATGGCTCTTTATTCTGATATTTGGATTTAGCACTAAATATTTTTGAAACTTGATGTATTTGAATGTATGGCAAAGCTGATTCTGCATCACAGAATTCGGATCTGAATCAGAACCCTCAATATCTACTGAAACAGCAAACTCAGTAACTATTGAAAAGCATTGCTCATGCATTTCTACAGGGCCTTCTGAACCAAGCTGTCAACAATTTTTTGGGGTTTTTTGTAATTGTAATTTTGTAATTGAAAACAGCCTCAAATATGGTCCTATCCTTTATTTTATTTTTTAAAATTTTTGGGTAGGGGGTGTTAAGTGAGATTGACAAAATTCCTAAAAAATCCTAAAATGCTCTACAACAGCTTTTGGCATATTTTAAGATACCACATAATATAATTTCCCACAAAACAGTTAAATTTACACTGATATTTATGAATGTCAGATAATTCTTTAAAATGTATATGAAAAACTTAATTAATTCTGGCCTTCTGCCAAAAACTTGAAGTCACTTTTTGTTACACTAACTCAAATTAAAAAATTTTTGTTTGAATAATTTAAAATAGGTTTTGGTTTGTGTATTTTAAAATGTGAACTGTTTCACTTGAGATTGACAACAGGGAACTAAGAAGTGGAAATGCTTTTTAAAAGTTTCCAGGTATATAATATTATTTTAGTTAAATAATATTCTTTTTTCAAACTATCTTAATTTACCAGTCCCTCCAACCTCTATTTCAGGGCAACATCACTTTAGTATCACCTTGGTACTAATAGAAAGAATTACAAAAGGTATCTTAAATACTCTGATTCATCATTTAGAACATTTGTCAAACTCCAGCATAGCCCCCCTATTTTGCACTGAAATCTGCACTAAATTTACACCAAACAATCTTTCTACATTCTTATTTCTGTGTTCTTTAATTTTTCTTTCTTTTTTTAAAAAACTTTATTAATCTGTTTACCTGTACTCAGGCTTCTTACCCTTGTTCACAGAGGCTTTAAGAGCTGTTTCCTGACTGTTCTGGTTATTGTGGCTGCCTTCTGGTGTATCAAAAACATATATT